TGAAATAGTTAATTCAAATCTTATGAATACTTCAATAATGAATATCATACTTCACTCATATTGGTATTTGTTTTTGAATCCGATAAACTCTGGAATAATATCAATCGAATATCATTGAGGATTGTGAAATGGCTTAGTTTTTAATTAAAAAATTTGTTCATATTTCTTGTATCAACTTAATAAAAAAGAACTACATCGCCTTATTTTTAGACTTTTGTATAACCTCATAAACGGAAGAAACCCAACAGAATAATATAAAGGCATGTCTATTTTCTGTTCAACAGTTCCTGAACAGCTGTTACTCATTAATATCCATGTGTGCATATTTTTCGACTCACGAAAGAAAACTCGTTTGTTCATTAATAGAAAACATATAAAACAATAGATGAACTAATCTATTCGATAATTTACATTACTATTTCGTGCTGGTTCGGACAGAGTAGACTTCTATTATAGTTGGAAGATCATAACCTTGAGACTGAGCTTATATTCTGTGGATGGTTTAGCTTATGATTAAAAGCAAAATATTGAAAAAATGATTTTCTTCTTTTCCATATTAATCATGAAGGATATTCTGACATTTATTCAAGTTTCTTATCAGAAACTGGCATGCATCTTATTCAGGAAATGTGCCCAATGGATTACATTCTATCGTAAAGGTTAGAAAGGAAAATTATTGTAAGAATAAATATAGACTATCATATTTTGTAAGGAAAAACGCTATCATATTTTTTGATGATAGAAAAAGTAGCAGAGTATCTAGCAAATTATTCAATCATTTCCAAGGTCATTGTTTACATTTGATTTCTATATAAGTGTTAATGGACTTGTAAATAATCTATACATACTAGGTTCATACATTCTTTTAGGATCATGACAGATTATATTTACCGGTTATCCTATTCAAATAAATAATTGTATGAATCACTTGACATGCTGTTATGTTTATCAATATCGATAGACTTTTAATTATTAATTTTACTGAATTGTTTTATAATGTTCTATAGATCGTAATCGTTTCTATTTGTTTTTTTTTTGTTTCTCATCAGTTAAGATAGTTTGACACACTATCATAATCTTTCACTTTTGATGACAAAAATACTTTTAATCTTCTTTTACAATAAACCTGTAGCATCATATATCATAACATCTTTTGAAATTGTTTAATCTATTCGAAACAAAAAGAAGAAAAAAAAAGAATTTGTATCATCTGATATGAAACAGACTACTTCACTTAAATATCATAGATCGGGTATGATTTATTGACGTAGATTCCTCCGGAAATGAATCAATTCTTAAAAATATAAGATATCTTGAGACGTTTCTTTTCTTTGTATTTTACGGAAATAGATTAACCAGTAAAAACTAATACTTATCGAGTGTTTATTCGAAAAAATATCTATACTTAGTCAAATTGAACTGAGAATATTGCAAATATTAATAAAAAAAAAAAAAGACAAAAGACGCAAGGCAATTTGTTAACCATATTCTTGATGACAGAAACAATATCATCAATGGCACATTTCTACATACGCTTGACTATTTAATATAATATTCCTCAATAAGTTTTCAGCAGAATTTGTCTATTTATTCTCATTAGATTGCTTTGTATACATCCTTTAGACAATAAATGACACTAGTTTTTCTTTTCTTTTGTGTTTTGTTTCTCATTTCCATATCATTCTTTCTTCACGTCATCTCCCTCGAAATATGATTGACATAGATATGTATTTTGTAAACATTTATCTATAGCACATTATCAAAGGTCAAAATATGTTGAATTTTTTAACGTTTGTATATTATTATAGACAGAAGAAAAATATAAAAAGATACATAAAAAGTTCCATATAATTCATTATCTAGTTTCTCGGCTCATTATAAGTAAAAATACAGACAAGGAAATCCCTTTATGCTTTTCATGTTATTAAAAACAAACGAAACCATATTTCTACGTCACCGATTTGTTTATAGTCTGTATGTGATAGTAAGATCTTTTAGGATATCTAAAAACAAAACAAAAAAAGAAGAAAAATTAAGCATTATAACAATAATTTTTTGTCAAAATGACAAATCTAGAATGCCCATAAATTGATAATACGAACAAGAATTTATGTATTCTAATTTTCATTATTTAAACATTGAAAATAAAAATTGTATTTTTTATACTTTTCGGTATAATAAAAAAAAACAACATCAAATGACAAGAATATAAAAAAGAAAAGTTTTATGTCATGACCATTGATTTTAAATTAACTGTTGTACTTTCACCACCATTAACCATACTTCCAATATAATATCTTGATGAATGTCTTCTTGATGATGGTCGATCATTTGATCCTGAATATGGTTTACAGCCATGTCTTAATGTATATAAACGATTTTTAAATTCTTCTCGATATATACGTGATAATAAACAATTTGTATAAAAACGTGTTGCTGATATTAAATACCATGTTTGATAAATTAATATAATTATTAATTTTGCAGTAGTTGACTGTTGAACAAGTATTGAATATTTTTCAAATAAATATGCTATTTCAGTTATTATATGTACGAGAATAAATGGAGCAACATTTATTGATATTAATACAATCATTTGAGCATCTATACGTGAACGACGTCGACGAATATGACCTAAACGAAATGATGGAGTTATAAATTGAGAATAATTTGTATTATTTATTGTTGTCGATGATGGTGTACTAATAAATGAAGTCGATATTCGAGTTGTAACTGTTGTAGAATTACAATGAACCATTGTTTCTAATTTAAATGGTATTAGTATATCGTTAAGTGGTTGTTGTTGTTGTTGTTGTTGTTGATTATTTGAATTTGTTGTTCGAAAACGTTTTCTAAGATTAATTGTAATCATACATGTACGACATATTGATATAAGAATAATTATAATCGGTACTATCGTATAAAGTAATATATAAATAGCATTAATAAATATTTCACATGTAAAATTTTTTTGTAGACAATCGTTATTAATACATAAGAGTGTATAAATTATATTTTGTATAAGACTACAAAATATTGTTATTAAACATAAATAAATAAATTTTTCTCTTGTACATAATGTTTGACTTTTAGTTGGCCATTCAACTTTAATCCAACGATCAACAGCAATAAAAACAAATATCCAAGAAAATCCAAAATAAAGTTCATAATTAAAACTTAAATAAAATAATTAAAATATGAAAAATAAAAATATTAAAAAAAAAAACTTACATTGTAAAGAATCGACACCAATGTATAGATATTGCAAATACATTTATTTGATAAATAACATCAAGAAAATATTGTAAACTTGCAAATAAATTTAATAAATCAACAAATGCCATTATAAGAAATAAAAATCCAGTGGAATGACGACGAAGTTTTTTTGAACTAAATGTTATTATTGATAATAGACAACCTGTATAACCAAATAAATAAAGTATAATACAAGTAAATGCAATAAGTAAACGTAAACCAGGAATGTGAACAGGTATAAGTAATGCTGCTGTTGTTGTATTATTCATACCGAAATTCATTATGAATAAATTTTCTTCTTTAAGAAAAGATCTATCCGTCAAAAAACAAAAAAAAAAAGATGAAAGGAAAAGAAAAAAAAAAGGAAGAAGTAAGTTATGAGAGAAGAAAAGAGAGAAAAAGATAGAGAAATATATATCTTTTTCTTGTCGATTTTTTTTTTTTGCATCTATTATCCTCATGATGATTGTAGACGATAGACCAAACAGTTTAACACTTTTGTTCTAATACAATTCAATAGTTTATTAGAAATGCTTGGACAGAATATTGTCTGCATGTATATATGTGCACATCAATCCAAGTTTCTTTTATTTTTGATCTCTAGACAAAAAATGATATATGTCGACACGCGATTTGAATGTCAATAAAGTATAGAAAGAATCACGCATTGATGACGTCCTAGGAAGAAGCTTTTCTAATACCAATAGTATGTGTAAGTTTTAACCACTTTATGTATTCAAATTGAAAAGAAGTTGATACTTCTTGTGTCTGTTTTCTTATCCTCTCTATCAGTATTGTTTTTCTTCATATACTCAACTATGATGTTTTATTCTTTTATTTGTTCATATAATATCATTTGACACGAATTAATCATGCTGATGTTACATCAGAATATCAATTCATGATAATAATTATATTCCTAAAATACTGAAAAAAAACAAAAATTATTTTTTTATAGAAATAATTATTAACATATTATCAATTTTTTGTTTTGTTTATGTATCAATGTATATTTGATCCCTATTTGTTTTTCTTTTTTCATTGAATATTCAATGCAAGCATTTCTTACCTTAATTATCTATGAAAATATTATTGTTAATTACTTTATTCAGTACATAGACAAGAAAACAAAAATAGATGAACCTAATGAATAAATTATTCAATAACATCTTATTAACACTTCCATATGTTTCTTTCTTTTTATAAATACTTGTGAAATTACATTGTTTATTGACTGACAAGCTAGATAAGTAGACCCGAACACTAACTATAGTTACTCTGAAATATTGAAAGCAAAACGTCTGTCTATCTACTTTGTTATTATTATTGTCGTCCACACACATGTTTCTTATTATTCCGGATGGTCTGCAGAATCAAAAAACATGATACAAAACCAAATGCAAGCTGACAAAAATAATAATATAATAATAAAAATTGTTGAAAGATATACGTTTCCTATTGCTCTAGTGCATGGCTAGACGATTAGTGGGTGTTTTATTTGAAGGATTGAAATAGAGTTATGTCGTGTTAAAGAAAGAATTCACAGATAGCATCATTCTTTTCATATGAATTGTCTTCAGGCTATATTAATGTCTTTTTCTTCTTCCGTCTTAAATATATACATAAAAAAAAAACAAAATGCCTCAAGATTAATATTATCCATCTCATTTGTCGTCTTGATCATAACAGATCAAATATTTTATTTTTACAAAAAAAAAAACAAAAAACTTTTTCGTCTTTTGTTATTAAGTTTGATGTGTAGCACGATGTCGTAATATTTCTATACTTGTTAATTTAAATGTTTGTTCACATATATCACAATGATAATCTTGTGTTAATGGAACACTTGCTGTTGTTGTTGTTGTTGCTGGTGTTGTTAAATTACTCAATATATTAGTTTTATTAATATTTGATTGTGTTGATTTAAAAATTGGATTTTCATTATTACATAAAGCTACAAAAAAATATATATATATATATATTTATTGACATTATGCATAGAAAATTATATATTTCTATCGTTCGGACAGATGTTTTTCTTTCTCTACTCAATAACTTTTGATGTTTTTTCTTTACTTTTTTACATATTGATTAAATTTATTGGTACTTGTTTTTCTTTCCTGAATATTTTCTAGCTTAGTCTATATATAAATTCAATAATAATACATTTTATAATTAAAATTTAATCTAGTAAGATAAAATGAGCTTATTGTCATTTGAAATAATGCAGTAATGATATCAAAATAGTATAAAGATTAAGGCAAAATATTTGTTTATTCTTTTAGTTTAATGCAAAAAAAATTCATCAGTCAACATGTATTAGTATTCTGTTTCTATACAAATCAAAAGAACAATGTACTAAGTATACAGAAAAATAGGAATTACAAAGAGTTTTGATTAGTCTTGTTTTTTTTTTTTTTTTATAAATATTTCATAGTGTTTTAATTTTTAAGATAAAATATTTTGGATCAATATATTGAACTTGAAAACTATGTAGAATGAAATGTACTCAAAATTTGGTAGAATCTTTTTTCTCTTTATAATATATTTTCCAGACATTGATTTTATGGAATTAATATTAAGTGACAGAAAACTAGTTATTCTATATGATAAAAACAATCAAATATCTTATCACAAGATGTAGTTATAATGTTTACTAAGTATGAGTTCAGTGAGTAACATGAGAATCAGATCATCATAATTTTAACATAAATCATTTGTTTTAGTATAGTGTTTCAAGACAATAATCTTTGTAAAAACAAAGTGTTTTTTTGTTTTTTTTTTTACAAATATATTATTAACTAAAAGAATGATCTATCATCTAAAAATGTCACTAATTGATAGATATTCGATGTGCCTTCGAGATTTCTCTACTATTAAAGGTGTACACTAGTACATTAATTGATGGCGGCGGCGGCGACTGACATTATTTTCAATGACCTTTTATAGTTTTCTTTATTTTGAGACATTTCGAAATGGAATAGAGAGAAACTAATGGTGGAGAACTTTTTGATAAGAACAAATTGATTTTCAACATTAGAAATTTTTACACATCAAATATGTATTTTTGTGTTATTACCAATACACGACCTCATCAAGAGAGTCAATGTTATGGTTCAAATTAAGATATACTTTGTTTTTTTACGCCCATTGATTTCTAACATTAGACTGAAGTTATAAGCATTAGAATATGAGGAACTCCAAGGAACGGAAGTAGGAAGATCGTCTCTGTTATTTTTCATCCGTTTTGTTCAAGCAACATTTCATGTGAAAGAGCAAATAAAAGTGAACAAAGACGTCATGAATAGATTTGTGAAAAAGTCAAATTTTGATATAGAATTAATTGTTGTGAAAAATTGATTTTATTTCAATTATTAGTCAGTTTTCAATATGATTACGGTTACAAAAAATTAATATCATATTATAAATCATCATCAAAAACTGAGTCGTCTTTCAGGGATGAATTTTTCGATGAAAAAAAAAAAACAACACATCTTCAAAACTTTTCCCTCATAATATTTATAGTCGTTTTGTAGAGCATAAAATTCTCTACAAGATAAGTTATATTAAAGTCGTGTTTCAATTATTTATCATATTGAAAATTAGATTACAATCGAAAAAAGTCAGTTTAATAAAATCCGTAATTTGTTCAGAAATCTATTCGAGACGTTTTTTTTTTTTTTTTTTATGTGAACTTTCAAATGAAATGTTGCTTGAACAAATCAGATGAAAAATGATGGAGACGACCTTTCTTTTTCCGCTTCTTATATTTCAACGTTTATAACTCGAGTTTAATGTCAAAAGTGAATTGATGTAAAGCAAAAACGTCTATCTTTATTTGAACCATAAAATCGACTTTTTTTTTCATGAGTTCATGTAGCTTTTTCTTAAGTAATTAGTTTTATTATGAAATTTTCTTAGTATTTGATTTGCCTACAAAAAATATTTACAATTTAATTGACATTGATTTTCATGTGCAATACGTTCTGCAACAGTAACAAGAATATCTTCATTACAATAAGAACAAATCCAATGTTTTTGCATTGTTGAACCAGCATATTCTGACCAAAATGATTCTTGATCATCATTTGATCGTAAACTAAAATTTAAATTAAGAGAAATTTCTAATTAAAAGAAATATAAAATTTCTAACCAATTATATGTTAAATATTCATTGATTTTAGTACTTTCTTTATTTACAATTATATCATCATTATCATCTTCACCTTCATGAATATTTGGTCGATAGATAGTGTCTAATTCAGCTAAATAATTAAATAAATGTATTTTATTTTTCTATGATAGAAAACTAAATGATTTACCAGGTAGAACACGTCGTATAGCATAAAGACATGAATTTTCAAGAAATTCAGTCATTTTTTTTGAAAGTAAATGTTGTAATTCATATGTACGTGGTTTTGAAATAAGTTCAATATCAAGTGATTTATTTAAATCTATAAAAGAAAAAAAAATCAATTTAAGAAAATTTTTGTCTATTTTACCTTGTAATGTTAATTGAAGAAGAAGATCACGAGCATTACGTAAAAGTAATAATGATGATATAATACTTTGTGCTGTTTCAGAATTTTCAAATGCTATCTCAAGCCATTGATCACAAAGAATACGAGTAAAATCATTATTTGTTTCAAGTGTTGATGCATAAAGAAATAATGTTTGCATAGCAGGTGCACGCATTACATTCATTATATAAGGTTTATTTGTTTCAAGTAGTGTACTAGATTAATTAAATCAAAGATTATATATCATTTAACTTTGTTAATGTTGATCATTGAAAAATTAACGAAAGAAACTCATCAGATAGATTCTATTGAATTTATAGAGAATGTCAAAAAAGGATACGTGTTTATGAGGTTTTTTTGTTTTTGATAGAATGTCGTATTTCTCTTTCAGTTCACTTTAAAATCGACTTTTGAATTCAAACTTGCATGTATGAAGTTTCAACAAAACTAATTTGATTGTGAAAATATCAGATTTTTTCATTCGCGAATATCCATATTGAAAAATGCATTTATATGAAAAAGTAAGCGTGGTTCATATATTTATGTATTCAACTAAGAAATCTTCGTTTAAGCAAAGTTTGAATTCGAAAGTAAGCACAATACTCGATTGAAAAATTCAGTAAAATAGTCATATCTTACAGCCGATGTAACACATAACAAAGTATATTTGTGTCTATGTTTCTCCAAGATATAAGAGTAATTTACATCAGACGAATTCTTATTAAATCTTAATATAAGACTGAAATGAATGATTGAGTGAACTAGAGAACGACAGTTATGCTTTTAATAAGTAGTGCACACTGGAATCTGTCAGATTTATCTTGAACTTAATCCAATGGGTAGGAATGCAATGACTATTAGTACCACCATAGATCGATATGTTGGTGTAAACATGCATCACTACGATGAGCTTAGATTTGTTTCGATTTCTTCAATTAGCGTAGATCCATTTCAAGAAAATTTAGCTATTTTTTTTTCGAAATGATTTCAGTAGTCGAAACATTGACATCAATTCAAGACCATCATAGGTTTATCATGCGTTCACTATTTGTCTTTTAGTTCGACTAATATGTCTTCCTTGTTTCAAGTAACATATAAATTTTGTATATACTTACACATAAACGAGAAGTTCATGTTGACTGCTGAATACTATTTTTTTATTATTTGAACTTGTTGTTTTAGTTGAAGTTGGAGGAAGTAGATTATCTGGATCATAAGTAAAAACACAAGTTGGATGTAGAACAACAAATTGTTTCGTCTAAATATAAATGATAAATAATAATGAAAACATATATGATTAGATTTTAAGCTTGTTTTGTTTTTTCTTTTTTTCTTATACTTTTGTATGAAAAAATTGATCACAATCACGTTTATAATTATTAAATTCATCAGCAATTGCAACTTGTGGATAAAGACCAGAACAAAGAATTAATTTAAGCATATTTATATCTTTTGATCGATAATTTTGACTATCAGTAGACATTTCTTTTAATGCTGATAGATCATTAATAAGACGGAATTCAATATCACGAATTTTATCTGTTGTTTTTAAGACTTCTTTTGGTAAATTATCATCACCATGATCATCAGTCATTGAGGTATTTAGCGATGAGTCCTATTAGAAATAATTTTTTTTAATTAGAAAATTTTTCTTATTAATTTATAAACTCTGCTTTAAATAAATTGCATGATAAATAATCTTTACGGGTCATATTGATATAAGAATAATTCCTTATGGAAATGTTTAAAATCTTCTGACTTTCTTTTTACCTATACTATTCTTAACAAGCGAAAACAAATTTTTGTGCAATTTTCTTTACAATAAGAACTTCAAACTGTCGGTATAGGTTTTAATTAAGGGGGACCCCCCCTCAGAAAATCGATTTTTTTTTCAGAAAAATCGATTTTTAGATAAGCACATACACTGAAAGCCCAAAGTGTCCCCTTTCAGATTATGTATGATTTGTTGCATTTTGAAAGGTTTTGAGTGGTGAAAATAGCGGTTTTCTGGGAGCACTGGTAGAAATATAAGGTTTTATCAGAAATTTTTTTAGTTA